CAGTTCAGAGGCTTGTGCATGGGCTGGCTGTTTGGGCCTTTTGAGCTGATGTTGCTATAGGTGATTCATACCGGGTTCAGTACTGCAGGGCTTACTGGACCAAATCATTGGAGGTCAAAGATGAAAGAGCTGCAGTGCTGATTCAGGAGAGTCCTCAGACTCTGGTCTGCAGGAGGCCAGGAGGGGAGAGCCAGGACTCTTCTGGCCTGGAGTCAGTTCTGTGAACTGACAGAGAGGTGAGACCTCTTCATTCCAATGAAACAAAATCTCCTTGTGCTACACGTCCTCTACGGAATAGGAGGAAAACATTTTCATTGTACTCTCATTCACCCACTCCTTCTACTTCTAAAGTTTTGAATGGTTTACTCCAGTTTCAGGGCATTGCAAGTGATTTCCCCTCCTTACATGCACAAACCCACACGCTCCCCCTGCCTTTCCTTTGGGCTGTTTTCTCCCACACACAATATCAAGAAATTAAGTGCTATGAAACCCTTTCTGATTCATCACAAATGTGGGGAAGATCTTAGTCAGAAAGGGGAGATAAGGCGCGAGAGCACTGACAGCAATTTCAAAGCCAGCTGGAGCGCGGTGGCTTCAAGCAGCCCGGAGGTTTAGACTGGCAAGTGCAGTATTGCACTGTTAAAGGAAACCTGTTTCCAAAGCAGGGCTGTCTGCACTCCCTTCAACTCACGGGTCCAACTAATCTTTGAATTTTGGGGAGCCAGGGACAGACTGCAAACCTTGCTGAAAGCCTGCTGGAGATGCAGTGGAGCAGCAAAGGAAGGCTAGGAGGTTTGCAAACTGTCTGCACGTATGGGTGATTCCTACATGCTATTGGCAAGAGCAAAGTGAATCCAAAAAAGATAAGGTAAGACTGTGGGGCCTGTTCTACGCTACTGCAAATATCACTTCTAATTCTGCATATTTTCAGGAACAGTTTGGGAGAAGCTTGCAGGGTTTCTTCTTGTGGCATTGAGGAAGGACGTGTTCTGTTGCTGTTCTTCATCCATGTCAGAGAGACCTGTGCAGCCTGCACAGCTTCACATTATTCAGGACAGAAACTGGGTTTGGAGCTGCTCAGCATTACAGATTTATTGCTGTTAAAATGAAAACAAACTCCAAACCTATTTACAAAGGCTTGAGATAGTACCAGTAGTTGGGTGACATGTTGTACCTGCTACAGGTCCTTAAGACCGGGGAAGATTTCTGCACGGTAAGCAGACCCCGAGGTCCTCTGGCTTGCTCGGCCCCATTCTTGTAGTTTGGCCAATGGAACTGTGGAGCATTTAGGTCCTAAAATAGCACCACATGACACCATGCAGAGATACTAAATCCATTCCTGAAAGCAATATAAGCACAATCAGGAGGGATTATGCTAGACCTTAAAGCCCTGATGTTTGGCTGATGTTGTATGTTCAGACTGGAAAGCAACTGCTTTGACCTCAGAGTGCTACTGGATTCATGGAGAAGGGACACAAACTTCATTCTTTGCTGCTACCCTTTGATCCCAAAAATACTCTGCATCAGGACCTGCTCAGAAGCTGTGTTTCTTGACTAACATGACATCCCAGAATGTGTGGCTCTCTGAAGGCCTGACACATCATGGCATTTCTCATTCTGCCAAACAGATGCAAAGTGAACTTTCTTCCCCCAAACACCACAGGTTTCCGCTTTCCTTTGGGAGGAAATGTTTAACCACATCTGTGAAAACCCTTTTTGGTTCTGTTGGCACATATAGCTTGGGTCTTGTAACTATTTTTCATCTCACTACATCATTTCAGTTTGAGCAAGTGGCTTTCTACTGGCTTGCTGTTCAGTAACTGATTTCCAGATATCTCCCAGGGCTGCAGGACTTTTTTCTGTTCACAGACTTCCTTCGCAGTCCACAGAGTGACAAGGAAACTACTGATTATTCCTTCCCCTCATTGGCTAAATAGAATAATTACATGTGGCTGATAAGGGAGGATAGAATTTGTCAGTGTTGGTCTGCCAGTGCTAAATTACACTCTCACAGAGTGAGGTTTTAGATTGACTCCAACATCCTCTCTGGAAAATTGGGTGGGATATAAAATCTTGTCTTGTACTGAATCTACTCCTAATAGCAGTGATCATTGTTTTACCACAGGGTTACAAGTAGTCTTCAGATTTTCCAAGCACCAGGATCAAAGGCTGCATTTGGTACTCCAAGACGAGACTCTGTCTTGGCTATATCAAACAGGGTGTTATCTCTCACCAAGCCTTTCTGTGAAGTTGTGGAAAAAAATCACACCCCCCACCCCCCACCCCTGCTTCACTTCTAATCATGACTAAGCTGCAGAGAAATTGGTAATGTTACAGTATTATCCTGGTAAATTTAGTTGCTTCCAGTAGATGGCATTACAGCAGTGCAGTCCTGATCGAGGTTAGTTCCTATCCCTGCTTGGGCTGCCAGAATAATCCCTCTGTTACTCTTTGCACAGAAGTGGATTTTTTTTTCTCCTAGCACTCAAATGGGGTTAAAAACATTCTTGTTATTTTCATTCGCTACCCAATAAAATATGTTATTTCTATTTTATGCATTTTTATCGCTTTTTTTGTTTGATTTATTTTTTAATCTGCATAACTCCACAATCACTTTATTTTAGAAAATTTGTCAAGACACTGAGTGTTTTGGATTGTATTCAAAATATGCTAACCACACGGCACTGCTCTTTCATGTATAGAATTTCTGCCTTCAAGTTATGTATCTATCTGTATAGCAGAGAGGAAGAATTAGGCACTTCACACTAGCTCCACAGCAGCTAGCAGGCAAAGTAGAGACCAGTTACAAGAAGCAGCTGGTAATTTTAACCAATTAATTACATTTCCAATATATTTGTTAGGTTTTTAGGGACATTCCTCTGTATGGTCTCAAAAATGCAAAAATATTGTAGACAGATATGCTTGCATTAAAAAAAAAAAAAAAGCTAAATATGAAGGTAACTGTTTTTACTGCTAATGTCAAAGTCAGTTCTGACAAAAACATGTTACCCCACTGATTGCACTTGGGTATAGCAGGAGTGGACATCACAGGCCCTCCATACAGAGCCAAAAGCCATTCTTTAAAACACTTGTCTTCAAGTCAACTCAGTTACATTATTCATTAATCTACAATTTAGGTTAGGAAAAAAAAAAATCTACCAGAAATGTGGGTAGCGTATTCTATTGTTTACCTTTGCATTACAATAAATGTAAATTAGAATTTGTCTTTATTTAACCATGCACTTGTGCATTTTAAGCCAAGACAAGCTGACTCATAAAAGACAACTCTTAGCAGTTGAATTTCCTTCTGTTTAGTTAAAACACATTCCAAGTCTTCCTCATTGACCTAACATGGAATTTATTAACGTACTACCCAATTCACAAAAAGCTGAGAAAAATTTAAGTATTCCCCATGATTCATCAAAGCTTCTAGTCCACCAGGTTTTGCACTTGCAAGAAAAAAAAAGCTTGAAGTATTTTTCTTTGCAAGCAAAACTATGCTGTGGCTTGGGAAGAAGAGGAGAGAGAGGGAAGCGGGGTGTGTGTCTCAAAGATTTGGGCATCACAGGTCTGGGGGATGGCACCTTCCCCCATTTGGGATCAGTAATCCTGAGTCCTTTCCTGAAATAAGGAACTGAACACAACCCTTGAGGACATCTCTCTGTGTATATATGTGCATGAATGTATATATAAAGACAGATAAAACAGTACTCCCTTCTTTACCCACTAGGCTTTTTATGGTTCTTGAAGCATGTTAGCATCCTGTTTGTTGCTCAGATAAGCACTCACCCAGGATAGGAGGCCTTACGTGCCCTGATGGAAGTGCAGACTGCCAACCCTAAACTGTTACACCCAAGGGCTCTCAGCCTCTCCTGATCTTTTACCACTTGACCATGTTAATCCAGAATACTGAGACAGATGCAGAATTTCAGGCTCTGGCAGGGTTAGATGGCTGTTGGTTGGGATTTTGGGACTGACAGTTTCAAAAGAAGTGGCCAAAGTAGTCTTTTGACTTGATTACACTAACTTGCTTATTTTCTTATTTAATATTGGCAGGCAGGCAGTATTATTTATTTGGTTTGGTACCAATATGTTTACTCAAAAGGAATGGTGGCTTGGGTTTTCTAGAAGAAGTTGCTGTTCTAACTCCACTGTCTGCTGTTTGCAACTTCTACAAAGTTTTGCAATTAAATCTTCTGTATTTAGCATGTGGTCATAAATAATTTTCCATTTCCTGAGAAAATGAGCAGAATGGTTAAACTACAGAGCAAACTGAGAGGGGAAAAGCAACAGCAGATTTGAGTATCAAAACTGGTGTGACATACATTTGCACATCCCAGCTGCTAAAGGACCCAAGTGGAAAAAAAGGAATTTACCAGGGAAATAGCTGTTTTGAGGGAAAAGAAATGCTATGGTCTGTGTATATGTCACTAAAACCACATCTCTTGAGTCATTCACAGCTGCCTTTCAGGCGGAGAGCAGGGGCAAAGGCACTGTCACCACTTGGTCCTTGTTCCCAGGGTAAGGGCCACGACTGGCTGTGCTGCAGCTGCTGCAGCCAGGCAGGTCTCCATGTCTGCAGTGGGCTGCAGGTAGGACCCCGGCCTGGGCTTGATTTAACTACACCTGGAATGGCTGTCTGTGCAGATCGTGGCAGCAGCTTACAAGCAGTGATCTGTGCTACAGCTGTATCCCTGCTTTCTTGCTGAGCACAGCCCTGGGGCAGACCTGCACTGGAAGAACCAGTGATGCAGCTCCCAATCTGCTCTGTTTCCATCCATCCCAGCTGGCTGCTAAGGGAGCCACGGCTGGAGAGCGCCAGCAGAAAGAGATGGGAGGAGATGGGAAGTGCAGGGAGTTGCAGGCACCTTCCTCACAGGGTGAGAACCTGGTTCAGAAAACACTGAGGGTCAGACCCATTTGTACATGTGTAATTAGATGTAACTCTGGTGTGTGTGCAAGGCCTCCATCACCCTTACATTGATGTTTTCCTTCAACAGAAACAACCTGGGAGCGGCCAAGCAGTGTGCCTGGGACTCCAAAGAGCCCCGTGTCACAGAAGAGTTCTGCAGGTACTGTTTGATGCTGTGCCTGACCACTGCATTGGGTGAATCTGCTTCTCTACCACTCAGCAAAGGAAAATGCTGTGATTACATGGGATATGTACTTAATGTACATGGTTATGTGAGTGTAGCAGAGTAAACATGGTGGGGCTTTCCCTTCTGATACCCATTCTTGCCTGTTGTTTCCCAGCTGATGCATGTTCTGGCCAGTTGTCTCAAGTGTCTGCTTAGAGCTGAGATGGCTCCTTCCTTGGAGCATTGAGGCAGATGGTGGCCCAGCAAGCCAGCGGGGCTGTCAGCTCTGGGAGGGAAGGGCAGGCTGCCTTTCCCAGTCCTGCTTTCTGCCAGGGCAGGGGAAGCAAAATGCTGCAGAGGAACGTGGGCTGGCTGTAGCTCTTCCATGCAGAGCACATGTGCACAATGAAGTGTTTTAGCATGCAGTAGCTACAGGGTTGACCACTTCACCTCTGTCCTGAGTTGAAGTTTCGGGGAATCAAGTAACAGAGAATCAGCTGCGTAACTGTACTGAAAAGCTTCAGGTACCACAGAAAGACAAAGCAAAGCAAAAATTACACTAGAATAAAAAGCGTTAAATGTAAAGGCCATTGCTGCCAGTTGACTGTAAATAATGCAGTCTAGAGGATGTTTTTCATAGAATTTTTTGGAACTGATGCCCCTCTATTGGCAGAGCTGAGTGGGAAGTATGCTTGAAGGTTGCGCATTTTGTTGTGACCAAAGGATTTGTGATGTAGTTATGTATCTTGTTTTAACCCTACTTTAAACATTATTCTTTGCTCAGCATATTCGAAAAATAAAGCAACCTACAGCTGTCACAAGGCTTGCTTTCTTGACATGAAAAGCCCATGTCCATTAAACCAGTGCTTTTTACATATGTGGTGGCTTGACCTTGGCTGGATGCCAGGTGCCCACCAAAGCTGTTCTGTTCACTCCCACTCCTCAGCTGGACAGGAGGAGAAAAATACAATGAAAGGCTCATGAGCTGAGACAAGGACAGGGAGATCACTCAGCCATTACTGTCACGGGCAAAACACACTCAACTCAGGAAAATTAATTTAACTTATTACCAATCAAATTGGAGTAGGGTAAAGAGAAATAAAAACCAAATCTTAAACCACCTTCCCCCCACCCCTCCCTTCTTCCCGGGCTCAACTCAACACCTGATTTTCTTTCCCTCCTGGCCTCCAGCAGCACAGGCTGGGGCAGGAATGGGGGTTGGGGTCAGTTCATCACTCATTGTCTCTGCCGCTCCTTCTTCTTCAGGGGGAGGACTCCTCACTCTTCTCCTGCTCCAGTGTGGGGTCCCTCCCACAGGAGACTGTCCTTCATGAACTTCTCCAATGTGGGTCCTTCCCATGGCCTGCAGTTCTTTACAAACTGCTCCAGCATGGGTTCCTTCCATGGGCTGCAGTCCTTCAGGAACAGACTGCTCCAGTGTGGGTCCTCCACGGGGTCACAAGTCCTGCCAGAAAACCTGTTCCAGCGTGGGCTCCTCTCTCCATGGGGCCACAGGTCCTGCCAGGAGCCTGCTCCAGCGCAGTCTTCCTATGGGGTCACAGCCTCCTTCAGGCATCCACCTGCTCTGGTGTGGGGTCCTCCACGGGCTGCAGGTGGAGATCTGCTCCACTGTGGACCTCTATGGGCTGCAGGGGGACAGCCTGCCTCACCATGGTCTTCCCCACGGGCTGCAGGGGAATCTCTACTCTGGCGCCTGGAGCACCTCCTCCCCCTCCTTCTTCACTGACCTGGGTGTCTGCAGAGTTGTTGCTCTCACATCTTCTCACTCCTCTCTCCAGCTGCCATTTGTTGCACAGTTCCCCCCCCGCTTCTTAAATCTGTTCTCCCAGAGGGGCTACCACCATTGCTGATGGGCTCAGCCTTGGCCAGTGGCAGGTCTGTCTTGGAGCTGGCTGGCATTGGCTCTGTCAGACATAGGAGAAGTTTCCAGCAGCTGCTCACAGAAGCCACCCCTGTAGCCCCCCTGCTACCAAAACCTTGCCACGCAAAGCCAATACAACATACCCTACTTCTTCAAACACATCATTTTACCAAACAGCATTATGGGAACTGTTTTGAGTTTGGGGCTCTCTTTTTCTTGGCTCTTTCCAGCTCAGTAACTCCTGTCATAACTCCTGATAAGAACCTGCTGCAGGATCCTGAGGGCAGAGTGGGCCCATGGGCTGAGCTTTTGTAGAGTCTGGTTCTGGGGTCTTCCTGGGTTGGAGCTAACACGTCATATTGCCAGCCTGTTGGGATGGGGAGAAGCATCCAGTTTCTTAGGCTGGAGGCAGTGAACACTGGTGACTCAAAAAAGGCAGTGTGATTTGTATCTGTAGATTCAATTATGTGATTAGTTTTTAAAATGTGCAATTATTCATTTGCTACCAGCAGCAAGCCCAGTAACTCTCCATCTGTTCTTACAGTGAATGGCTACCACATCTCTGGGACCCCAGTACACCAGCTTGACTCTGGTCATATGAGCCTCCGAAAAGCCAGTGGGGACCCCCAGGTAAGTTTTGGGGAAAAAGCCAAACAGTGGTATCCAAGAATAAATGTGTCTTCACTTAAGTAGTTTAGGAATCCACCCAGAGCAGGAGGTCAAGAGGCATTTTCTTTTAGAAACTGTCAGATCAGACAGATTTGTTGCATCTAGAATAGTTAGTCTTTGTGTCCAACTGGTAAAACAGTATAAAATGCCAAGATACTTCGGATTTTTTTGTCCTATCACTCCTTTCTGAAAAATCCACCAGGCCACTTCAGTCACTATTAACAACTGTACAAATTTTCCTGCCACTCCAGCCTGAAGCCTGGGCCTGTCTCCAGCACAGTCCTCTCTCTACACTTGCACAGCTGCCCATGTCTGTATCTCATTGTATTTTCTTGCAGCTCCAGCTTTCCCTCCCAAAGACAGTATTCACAAAAAATTTGTCCAAAGTTTTTTTCTCAATTACTTCATCCATTCCTGTCTCTCCTTTCACAGGCCTCCTCTGTGCCTTACGTAGCCTGTGCCTCACCCATCTCATCACCCCGGGCTAGCATTCAAGATTTTGACCCATGGACAGCTGGTCTCCCCTGCCTGTTTGTCCAAATTTTCAATAAAGGTCCCTGCACTTTTTCTTGCACCACTTCATGTCCCTGGGAGAGTCGTTCCTGCAGGTCTGCAGATGCAGCACAGGGCCCTCTTCCAGCTTTGCCCATGAAACTCTTCACTCCCTGCCAAAACAGCAACAGTTGAATAGCTGATGGGTTGCACTCCTGTTCGGTTGTGCTGGCATTTTTCCCCCCGATGGTACCAGACTGGAGTTCTCTGTTTCATTTCTGTATTAAATGGTAGGTTCTTCTGCAGTGCAAGTCCTCGAATACTCCCAGTGAAATGCATGTTTGTGTGCTCCTGCCACACTGACCTGAGTTGCCTGTTGCTCTCAGTGTCCCTGTGATGTTCCCTGCTTCTTGGTCTAAACTTTGTGTTGTCTACCAACTGTCCCTCTTTGCCTCAACCCACTTTCTTGCCCACTGCCTCCTAGGTGGTGGCCTTTAGCCTTGCCCTCATATGTGCTGTTTCAGCTACGTCAGCATTTCTGGTTTTGCTTCCTCACCAGTGGATTCATACCATCTCCCACAATACAGTCCAGCGCTTTGGACTCCTTGTTCCTTCCACATCAAACATCTTGCACTTAACTGCCTGTGCTGCTTCTTCTCCGAGCAGTTTGCACAGGCTGGAGGCAGAGCATGTGGGCACCTAAACTAGGTCAAAAGCATTTTAAAAACTGATGTAATGTATTACCAGACACCCCTGTCCACGTCTGCTGTGACTCCCTCAGAGAACCTGAATAAACTTGCAGGCAGTGACTTTCCTTTAAAAAGAACTATGTTAATCCTTGTGCAAAAATTTCCATTTCTCAAGGTATCTGATTCACAAATGTTTTTGCAGTTGGCTTGGTACACAAGTCAGATTAACTGACTGCCTCAGACCTTCCTTTATAACAACATTTGCCACTTTCCATTTTTACGGTGCCGGGTCTGACTCAAGTTTATAGCCACCTTTTTGTTCAAATTCACATCTGGGATACATGGGGAGTCCATTGCCATGCACTGGTTTGCTCAGCTGACTCAACCATCAGACTGACAAAAATCCCTTTCATGACTTTTCTCATTCACTTCAACAGCCTCCACGACACTTTCTTTCCATTGCTTCTTTATTAGAGGTTTTTCCAAATTGAAGCCCTGACCTAATTCCTGCTTTGAACCTATAACTAGTTTTGAATCTATAACTAGCTGCTAGTGCCATTAATTCTAAAAGCAGCTTGTGTCCACACCCGCTTGGGAGCCTGCTTTTCCTGGGAGCTGTGGCTGCTTTTGCAGAAGAGTCCTTAGTAAGGAAAACAGCTGACCATAAACTGTTGGTTGCAGGAAGCTGTTCTCCACACCCTCAAACTCCCATACACTGTGGCCAGTCCCTCTCCTCCTTGCCTGCCTTGGGCCATCCCAAGCTGCTTTGCCTTGACTGCCTCCTTGTCTGTTCTTGGCACAGGCTGCCTTCTGCTGCAAAGCAGCTTCCAGGCGTTCTCCCGGATGCTTTCTCAGACCTGGGTAGCAGCCATCATGCAAACAAACGCTGGCAAGATCCCTCAGGCAAGCCTAGCCACATTTCTTGGAAACAGGTCAAGGGGGAAAAAGCCACAACCGAGAACAACACGGAGCTGCACTGTGCTGGGAGCAGGGCCAGGCCTTGTTTACGGCTTCCTAGAGAGCAGCTACATGCTGCCCGCTCAGGTTGTCACAACCGCCACAAAGGCAGCAGCAGCTCAGCCTGGCCGCGGCGGGGCCCCGTGCAACGGCGCGCGTCCGGCCCCGGGCACGTCGCTGCTGATGGGACTTCAGCCGGACGTCGAAGCCGGTCGTAGCCCAAAGGGACCGCGCTGTTCTGGGGCGCTGCACGAACGCTGCCCGGCCGGGGTACGCGCCCCGCGCCCTTCGCGTCCGGCCCTGCTCGTCTCCGCGGCGGCTGCTGTGGACGCGGCGCCTGGGCAGGGGGACACGGGGCTGGGCTCCACGGCACAGCCCAGCGACTGCTGCCAGGAGCGGACTCGCAGGCTTTACGGCCGACGCCCCCGGGGGGCGG